GATCCTGAACCAGCCCTTTCATTAGACAGGGGTTTATCACCCCAAGAAGCCAGACAAGTTGAGTCATCTTTGATTGTTCAGGAAAGTTCCAAGGCACCTCCCTGAACGACACCGTATTGATAGGTCCCGACCTGATAAATTCTCTAATGGGAGTTCTCTGTCTCTTCAGGAAGGAAGCAGTTGCTGTGATATGCAACATTGAAAAGATGTTCCATCAGTTGTACATCCCCCTAGAAATGCGTAATTACTTAAGGTTTCTTTGGTGGGAGAACGGTCAGTTGGAAACAGAATCCAAAGAATACAGAATGGCAGTTCACCTTTTTCGTTGCCAGTTCCTCTCCAGGATGTGCCAACTTTGGCCTTAATTATCTTGCATGACAATACAAGGCAGAATATCCCTCAGCATCAGCCTTCATTGAGAAGAACTTTTATGTTAACGACGGCCTAACTAGTATTTCAACAGTCAGTGAAACTACAAATCTAATGCTCAAAGCGCAAGAATTATCTAAAATTGCTGGCCTAAGACTGCAAAAGTTCAAGTCTATTAAAAAGGACGTACTGTCTTGTATAGCTCCGTCAGAGCAAAAACTAGTGAACCTCTCAAACTTAACCCAGACTCAACATCAGAAGGACAAGTACTTGGCATTCAGTGGACAATTGAAATCAACCCTCAACTCGTCGTGGTATCCTGTCAGTCGTAGCCTCTCTTTATGATCCTCTAGGCTTCATAGCTCCCTTAATACTGAGTGGCAAGTGCATTCTCCAAAAGCTTTGCCACAGGAGCATCAGTTGGGATGAAGCACTTTCTAAGAGTTTAAGCCCACGGTGGGAGGCCTGGAAGAGTAGTCTGCAAGCTTTAAGGGAAATCAAGATACCCGGCTACCATCCTCCAGACTTCGGTAACACAGTGAAGGTGGAACTGCACCACTTTTCCAATGCCAGCAACGTAGGATATGGTGCCTGTTCGTACCTTAGGTACAAGAATGACAGAGGTCAAGTTCATTGCAGCTTCATAATAGCTAACGCAAGAGTTGCACCGACGTAGAACATCACCAACCCAAGGCTTGAACTCTCTGCTGCAGTCACCACAGCAAGGTTGAGTGTCATGTTGAAGGCAGAACTCGAAATTGAAATTGACGAAGAATTCTTCTGGACAGACTCCCAGGTAGTTTTGGCCTACATCAATAATGAAGCAAGAAGATTTCATGTGTTAGTAACCAATCGTGTTCAACTCACAAGAGAGATTACAGACCCAACTCAGTGGCATTATGTGGATACAACACAAAACCCAGCCGACCATGCATCCAGGGGTCTTCACGTAGCAGATATTTCCCCCTCAAGCTGGTTATCTGGGTCTAGTTTCCTATGGAAATCTGAAGTGCTTGCATCTCCAAGCTCTTCAGCAGAAGTGATCCCGAAGTCAAACCCATTACAACCCTTGCATCACAAGTCAGTGAACAAACTGATATTCTAAATCGTCTGAACAAGTTTTCCAGTTGAATCACTTCCTTCCAGCACTAGCTCTGGCTGCAGATACTAAAGGGTGGTGGCAGCCGACCATGCCCCTGATCAGACGTGCCAGCCTATGCGGTTTGCACTATGTGCATGGACTACCCAATGGATCACCAACTACTGCAGACCCCGGTAAAGCCCCACTGGTAGTATTTCTGCCACTGGTCAACAGCTTCTGCAGACAGACATTAACCAGAAGGGGGATTAAAACTGTCTGTGTAACTGCTACTGTTAAACCTCTCCTCTGCTTTCCTTGCCTTTCCCAAAAAGTCAGGATGTGCTGATCCAATTTCTGTTGAACAATTCTGATTGTACGTCAGGGAATGGCTGGCAAGGGGGACAGGAGGGAAATTGCCCCTGAACCTCTAGCATACATTGGTTGTGGACTGCAGCCTCACAATACAGTTCTTTTGCATGGATACTATGTTGAGATGTTTTTTGATACAGGTCTGAGGCTATAGGCTGGATTCCTACAAGGTCTTTATTAGGTGTGTATGGATTTGTGCATGGGCTGAGAGTCTGTACTCCAGGCCAAGACTATCCAAGCGGAATATGTCTTTGGAAACTGTAGTACCTGAGAGCAATCAGGCTGCCAGACCCTAATAAGACTGTGTGTGTGGTGTCCCTGGAGGTGTTTATACATGACTGTATGGGGTGGGATGAGACAAGGCTTATAACACTCATAACACACACCAGTCATCATTGGTTGCAATGGAGTTACAGAATCTATGTCTCTTAGGCGTTAATGTTTGTCAGGTCATACTGATGAAAGCTGCAGGTATGTATGATGGCACACTTCACAACAACCAGCAACAACAACTCCATCTGTCGAATCCATATTTTACATGCTCTGTGAATACAGCCATTCTCTCAGAGATCTAGGTAATAATATAACCTCACATCTGTAAAAAGAAAAAAAACAATCAGAGAAATAACAGACTTCGTAGCTTGAAAATGTTTTTTAATACACCAAACCAGGTGACTTACGTTTGTCTTGAATAAATCTGAATTTATGTCATAACATGATGCCACATGTTTAATGTAATATCTCAAA